TTTAGGTTCACATATAACTCATATATTAATGACAAGGGTAATTAAGTAATTTGCCATTTATGTAACTCCCAAATCATTAATTGGGAGTTACAAATCTAAAAATCTCAATAATTGATGATTATGTAATATTGATATTTTTTTATATGTGTTCATGTTTTGTAATTTTGATTTATTCTATCCATAATGATATTGATTTTGTATTTGTTAAAGAATTTCCAATTGTAAAGATTTTGATATCGTCCGAGTAATATGGATAAATCTATTGGAAAACAGATCGACAACAATGAGAATGAAAAGTTTAAAATCGTCTACGACTACAATCGGAATTCGAATTCATATGTAATTGTTAAAGAATTGTTCACAAGTGTTCATATTGTGTGCATATGTACACTAACTGCATATCTAAACATTGGCTTGTTCCTGAATGTGTTCATAATGAAGGAACTCTTATTCATAAACTGTTCATATTGTACATATCTCAACATTGGCTTGCTCCTGAATGTGTTCATAATGAAGGAACTATTATTCACAAACTGTTCATATTGTGTTCATAGGTATACTAGCTGCATATCTCAACATTGGCTTGCTCCTGAATGTGTTCATAATGAAGGAACTATTGTTCACAAACTGTTCATATTGTTGTTCATATGTACACTAGCTGCATATCTCAACATTGGCTTGCTCCTGAATGTGTTCATAATGAAGGAACTATTGTTCACAAACTGTTCATATTATGTTCATACCTGTTTTTTTATTTATTTACTTTCGTATATCAACTATTCTTATTATATTCATATTGTGTTCATAAATACTATACAGTCCAAGTTCATATATATGTCAATTTTTGTTCGTATTTGACACAATGATTCATATATATATATATATATATATGTGTGTGTGTGTGTGTGTGTGTGTGTTCATATGGTTCTTATATTAACAAAAATAAATTAATAAAAATAATAAAAATTTTTGATTTTGTAACTCTCAATTAATGATATGTGAGTTACATAAAAAAAAAAAAATACCTAAATACCCTTTTCTTCTTTGTTCACATATGTTCTTTGAAATTGTAAATTTAAAAATTTAATTTTTTATCATGATTAATCACAACCCTTTATTGTAAGAATCAATGGCCAAGATTGGTTAACAAAGTTAACACAATAATATTTGTTAGTATTTGAACCAACCCCTACATATATATATATATATATATATATATATATGACACACAAATGTACAATAGATTCTCAAAAGTGAAGATTTTGGTCTTTTAAGATTTTTATTCCAACAGATCCGAGAGAGAGGGGGTGGAATTCTCCAAATTTGAAGAAGTATCCAAAAATGATAACATAAAAAATATTTTTTTATTCTTTTAACCAGTGATATTCTTGAAATTAAATGAATATGAGAGAGAAATTATATTTTATGAAATGTACTGAATATTTTAACAATGTAATTTATATTATAATATCCAAAATGGATAAACTAATGGAGATGAATATAAATTTTCTATGGTAATTTCAACTTTTGATTCTCAATTTAGGAGAATCTCTTTGAGATGTTTCTTATGTGACACCTTGAAAAATGTTGATTCCTCATTGTGACATGTAAGGCTTGACCTTGCCGTCACACCATGTCTCATATAATTTAGAACCTTACTCAAATATTTAATTAGATGGTATCCAACTTCAAGAAATGGTCCAAACAAGAACATTTTTGTTTTACGAAAACGCAAGAATATCTATTTACTATAGTCAATCACGTGAGATAGATTACAGTATCACGTGTGACTAACTACAGTAAAAAGATGTTCTCACGTTTTTGTAATATGATGGTGTTTTCGTTTGAACCATTCTCTTTATCTTGATATCATATTTCTTTTCCTTGCCGGTGATCAATTACCAAAATACGAGGGCGAAATGGAACATTTAAGTATTGTTGAAGGGCCTAAAATGAAAGTTTGTTTTTATTACTTTAAAAGAAAAATATTTAATGGAATCTGGTACACAACCGACTCCATAAATAGCTAGAAAAGAGAGAAAAGTGAGGCTCTACTGATTCAAGTCGCCTCTTCCTTCGCTCTCAGTAAATCAGTAATAGATTCATGTATATATGTATAGCATCTATTTGATTCAAATCTAACAACGATGACGAATCAGTTCGAGAATTTGATAGAGTCGATTAAGTCGAAGGTGAAGGCGTTGAAAAGGAAGAAATCGAAGAAGGTGTATGTGAAGATGGACAAAACGAACAGTGTTAGGGTTGAGATCCGTAGTCGTCATGCTCGCAAACTCATCGACAAAACTCTTCAAGCCGCCGATCATCCCGGCAAGCGTCCCGTCACTTGATTTACTTTTTTTTCCTCCCTTCTGATTCTGATTTTGATTTTCTCCTTTTGTGTGTATAATTTCGTATTCCAGCAGCTTATCGTGATCAGGTAAGACGTTTCCAATTTCTTCTAATTACTTTCTCTCTCTCTAAAAGTAGATTTTGAATGTTTATGTTATTATCAGAGAATTACTACTTTGTGCATACCGGTTTCTACGAATCGGTAATGCATAAATGCTAAATACATGTAACGCTTGACTTTACTCACTTAATGCCTGATAACAACATGATGAAATTCGATATATGTTTATGTTTATTTTCTAATTTTGTGATTAGGTATACAAGTAATACAATGAATTATGAAGATTTCGTAATTTCATTTTATTTTGTTTGGATAAACTTATGTTACTATTTATTACTCTTGAACATTCACATTACTTGAAATGGAACAGATTTTATTAGGTTTCTTAGAAATCTAAAATTGATTTTAGTGTCCACATCATTAAAAATATAAACATATTATTCATTAAAAACATGTTATTCATTAAAAATATGTTATTCATTGATGAATAATATGTCCATATTTATCATTAATTGTGTGATTCATGGTGAATAATATGTCCATATCTATTAAAAATATGTGAGTTATGATGAATAATATTTTCATATTCATCATAGATATGTTATTTATGATGAATATTACATATATTCCTCTTACTTTGGTATGTTGTTTAGAATTATATATTTATAATGAATCATGATTTTATTTAAATAATTGATGTTTTAAAAGTATATATACTTATGAAATGAATCACGCTTTTATTTAAATATTTTTATAATTATTTTGAGATTGAAGAATTGACAGGATTTTGAATTGGTAACACAATGAGATTCAAATCCAATAATTAATTCGATGTCATTAGTCTTTGTTGAATATTATTATTATTTATTATTTTGTTTTTTATTATTTGTTTTTGTGTTGGGTTGACATTATTCATATCGAAAAACTCATTTAATAGATTAACAAATGTATTTGGTGAAGGGTATAATATTGAATTGTTGATCTTTACACACGAATGAAACATAACTTATAATTTTATATTTTTTTTATTACACACACGTTATTTTAAAATATTTATTAAAATGCAACTGTGTTTGATGGTTTACAAATAAAATCAGAATAATTTGGATACAAAATATTCTGTCGATATAACCGAGAGAAACGAAGATTAAACTAATAAATCTAAAACTTGAAGTTAAATAACTCTTTAAAATTTAAACTTGTAAATCTCAATTTATAGAAACACGTTGGTCAAAGGTGTCCAGTTTTATTATAGTAGATATTTGGACAAAAAATATTTTCTATCAAGATTACCGGGGAGAAGACTTCAATAAACAGGTTTCAATGGTAGCTGATGGATAAACTTGAGTTTATGAATATATCTATATCTATACTATATTATAAAACATTTGATAAAAACTCTTAAAAATCATTTTTTATGCATAAAGTATTGTATATTAATGCATATTACTTAAAATTGAAGATTACAAGTAGATTGTGCGTAAGTATAACTTATTTGAATTCGTGTAACTAAGTTCGGATAAACATAATCAAATATAGGATAAACATCTTATTTTAAAATATAAAAAATCTAAAATATAATTAGGATAAT